ATTACAGTGATTTTTTTTATAAAATTATTTCTTATGTAGTGTTATTGAATTTTTTTCTACCATTTATGGATGAATTACTTCACAGAATTGATTTAATGTGTAATAAAGTGATTATTTATCAGCTCATTACTTGAGAATATTTTTGTTTTGTTGTGCAAAGGAATTCTTAGAAATAAATCGAACGTTTCAATTGAATAAAGTAGTAACTTTGTTAATAATCCAATATAAAATAGATGAAGAAAAAAGAAAAGCTGCTTTTTTATTGGAATAAAATAATTTTTTTTTTTTTAAATAATAGAAATGAAGATGAGAAAAAAATTGATAGTTATTTAAGAAGTATTTTAATTTATAGAAAAATTATATTAAATAATAATCAACTTTTTGAAAAGTCTAAATCATATTTTCGACAAAGTTATGATAGAATATTCTTGTCATCAAGAGACCAATTCTATTTGAATAAAATTTATTGAATTCATTAAGTTTCTTGATTAAGGAAGAAATTGTATTAAATAGGTCATGGTGCTGAAGGAAATTCACGAGATAATGATGCCGAAATTAATTACTTTGATAAAATTTCACAAAATGTATACTTCATTATTATTAATATTAATTATTAGAAATATCATTTATTCATTAATAAAAAAGATAAATAAAAAATTTTTATCTATTGAAATTTGTAAGGCAATATTGAAATAATTAAAAAAAAAAAATCAACATAATCATTAAAATTCTTTGTGCCAAAAATAAATCGTCGTTTTCTGTAGTTTTAAAGAGAAAACAAATTCCACTGCTAATAAAAAGGAAATTATTCCACTAACCATAACAAAAAATCAGAATTAAAATCTCAACAACTTTGAATTTTCTCAATGTAGATAATATGAATTTTTTCGGACACAATTACTGACAAAGAATAGAAAATAATAGCGGCTGGGAAAGGAAATAAAGCAGCAACGTGTGTTTCTCATGAAGATGGAGCGAAAAAAGACAATCAGGAATCGATAAAAGAATTCCAGAGGACCCTGTCAAGCGGAATTTCATGCAAACTCTGTTGGACCTAACGAGGGTCCAAGGGGAAATCGATTCTCCCACAGTGTAGAGCCAGTAGGTACAGGTTAGAGGAAAAAAGGAAGAGTGAAAGAATTCGGAGTAAAAGAAGTAACAGAAGCAAAAGCCGAGGGAAAGGAAGGGAACAAGAGTGAGGTAGAGAAGGAGGAGAGGGAGGAGGGGAACAGAAGGAGCCACGAAAAGGCGCCGCGTGCTCGCGCGAGCAAGAGCTATATACCTTGGACAACTCTGGAGAATAATAATGAGTGAGACTGGACGAGGGAGAAATACCAGGCAAGAGTAAGACGAAAACAAGTACCAGCGGAAAGAACGCCGCGTGCGACCAAGAGGTACGAGGTTGGTATAAACTCGCCGCGACGAATAATAATGAAGCCAGGTCAGAAGAGAAAGAAGAAGAAAGGAAAGAGAAAGAGTCAAAAGAAGATACAGATGAGGAAAGAAATAGGCGTCTGGACGTTGCCCGATTCACTGGGGCACACCTCTATACAATCTTCCTAACGACTCTCTCCACTCTTGAGAGATCCTTTTGGGCGGCAGCCTGCAGGCGAAGGCCAAAGGCCACGCGGAATGCAGACACGTAACGCACGCAAAATGTGCGAGATTTTTTTTCTTCCTCCCCCTCCCTTTATTTCTCTTGTGTTACTGATCATCATAGACGCCAGTGGAAAGTGGCGTTATGCTTCTCTTGGTGGTCAATGCCATCATTTATCATCAACACTCAATAATGAGAAAATTTTCTATTATGTGGAAGGAAAATTTATATAGATGGACTTTGAATTAGTTGGTGAAGAAAAGACTATTCAATTAACCATTGAATTGATTGATTGTTGATGTTGTCAATACTTTGAAAAAAATTTTGTTCAATTAGTGATAATAATTTGCAGATATTATGAAGAATCAACAAGTTAATTATAGAAATTTCCAATAATCAAACTATTGAATAACTTATTGGAATATTCATTTTATCTTTACAATTTAATTTTTCGTTATTTCATTATTATTGCTTTGAATTATTTTTCATGTTTTAAAATTAAAAAGAAAAAAAAAAATAAGAAAAGTTTTTTGCTCTTCATAAAGTCATTTCAAGCATTTAATTATTATTAATTGTTCTTTTAATTAATAGTAATTTTTCTTCAATTTCACAGCAAATAAAAAAAAATATTTTTCACATTCATTTTAGACTGCTCTTTCTCTGTCTCTTGTAAATCCCTCCGCAACATCTAAACCCTAAAGACGAATTATTAGTAGAATCGGCACGAAAGATCGTGGGACCACAAGGTGCGACCCCCCATTGCCGTCATTCCATCAGGTAATACCTCACAAAAAGATGGAAGAGCCAAGCTCTCAAAATATTTCTGTAATAGTTGAGGAATTTCTTAAAAATATTTATACAGACATTATTATTATTATTATGTATCCTTTAATTTATTCGTTGTACAGGATAAATTTACTTGGTAAAAAACTGGTTGTTAATGTGCTGATGCAAACGCATGTATAAAAGAGCTGTAGCTAAAAGACCAAATAAGCTTCTTTCACAAGACTTGTTTCCACTCTGCTGATATATATCCCACGCATTTCGGCTATAGTGGAATAAACGAGTTTTACTTTGATTATGAGGTAATTTCACCAAGATGAGAATCGAAATCGATCAATCTTTAGTCAGTATATATACGTCTACAACTCTAAAGTATTGGCAGAAGTTGAGCTCCACATCGTTTCGTGTCGTCGTTCGCACTCTCTGGGAACCGTGCGAAACTTTTAATTAAGAGCCGCTCCAGCGCCTTTACTTCTGCGAACGAGTTCGACCAAGCTTAGTATCATCATGAAGAGAGAGGAAATAAAATAAAAAATTCAAGAAATGCCTGATGCTGATCAGCTCATTTTTTCCTTTGCTTTTTTAACTTACCGCCATTTTTCGAGTAATGGCATGGCTTTGAAAATCAAAGAAATCTGCATAATTTTGGGGCTTCGATTCCACTTCTTCTTTTGATACTTTTCAGAACACGAATCTAACATATGGATTAGTTTAACCGGCACGAGAAAAAAAATATTTAAAGTTTAATGGCAAAAAATAGTCTATAACAGGTGCAGGAAATTTTTTTTCTACATTCATCATTAAATGTTTGTAAAATTATTACATATTGTTAAATATTTAAATGTGGTTGTTTGAATTGTTTATTCTTTTTAGTTCAATTATTATGTATCATTGATTCAACGTTTTATTAAAATATTTTGAATTAAAAATAAATGTTATCAGCTTTAATTAATAGAAAATATTATTTGCATTTAATCAATCATCAGAAATCCAATATTTATTTTATTTAAATATTTATTAATATAATAAATGAAGCTATTTTTGAAGATCTTTAATGTTAAATTTACAATTTGATAATTAAATAAGAAGATTGTTTAATAATTGACTATATTCTAATTCGATAAGCAAAGCTTTAACAATTATTAGCAACGTTTTGGAGTGTATGCAATTCTTTTTCGAACATTGTTATTAAGCAAAACTAATTCTGGATTAAGAACAGATAACGGTAAACATTTTAAAACAAAATAAATTATAAAATTTAAAGTATTGTAAAATGTATAAAAAATGGCTTCAAAATACTATAGTTTGTGGATGGAATTTCAATATTAGATGCACTTTATATGTTCTATTTCAATGCACATAAATTTTCCATGGATTCGTGGAGTATCGGTAAACATATTGACATGATTATTTCTTAAATTTGAATATCAAAGGAACCAGTAAAGTTTCTTTTGCTGTTAGAGATTTGTTGTTATAAGGAATAATTCTTTCCTTAGAAACATAATTTACAAAAAAAATTTACTGCTAAATTTCTTTATAGTAATTTTATTACTATAAAAATTCGTGGAAAATTTATTTAAAAAGATCCAATTTCACCCTCAATTTTCTCTACAACATCTTGAAAACCGTAAACGAAATCTATTGAACTGGAGTCAAATGTTTTCAGAGAAATAAAAAGCAAAGAAAATGAACCCAGAACCATCTCTTCACGCTTATTTGTTTACAAGACATAGATTTTAAATAAAAACCGTGCAAGAAGCTAATGCTTATAAACAAACAAAGAAGTCAACGCTTACTACAAAAAAATTAATATCCTATAAATCATCAACCACAAAAGATGAGATCTACTGCTCATTTTCTTTGTCAAAAAATTCTCTAAAAATCGTATCACGAAACCTCCTATTTCCGGTTCACAGGTTCCAGACATTTTAATAAAAATCCCACACGAAATGATCTCTTCAAAAAAAAAAAAAGAAAACCACACCTCAACCTTTCCAATCAAAAAAATGTCTTCTTCATTCACTAAAACTTGAGATAAATTTTTCCAATTGATTATAATATTTATCAAATTGAAAAATCAGCTGAATCATTGATTAATAAATAAAAAAATTTTAAACAATACAAAAGGTGAAATGAGTTCTAAGTCTGACCCTCTGAAGAGGTCAAAGGACTGGAACATGTTTCATTGGACTCCCAAGCTTCTTTCATTGAGAGACTCTCATCGTTGTTATTGTCTATTTTTTTCTTTATTCGTCAGCTTGGTTTAAAGTCTTTTTATTTGCTAATCATTACCCTACACTCACGTATGGTATGTTTGAAGCCTATTCAACACGTGACTGGTAGAATTTTTTGTAATTAGTCAACAACAAGAACAACTTGCCAAGTGTTTCATCGCGTGCATGAATTAATTCCTTCAGTTTCTCCTTCACAGTTTGCTCATGCCGACCCTCGTCGGCCAATGAGGGAGCGGCATCCGGTCGCATTGAAGATATTTAAAATAAGAATACAAAGAAGAAAAAGCATCAACTCATCTTTACCGCCTACATATAGCTGTTGTATTAAACCTCTTAAATCCCACACTCAAAAACTTTCCAACAAACTTGAAGATTTTCGCACTTACCTTCTCGTCAAGTGCTGGACCATTTTCCATTGCATGCATAATAGCATCAGATATACGAGTGTCTAACTGTCGTATTGCTCTTTCAGCATCTAAACCAGATTCATCACGACCATCAACAGCAACCACCAGACGATCTACGGTGTCGACATATCCAGACCAAGCTAGATCCAATTCAGATGCTGGCTCTGTCAAGCATCCTCTGAAAAGTAAATCATATTTCATTTATTCAAATACTCATACTTTTCTAGATAATATTTTACGAGCTATTATTATATTTGCTACTTGTTTCTAGCAATCAAAATTCTAGATGTATATTGTTGTGAAACTAGATCGTCAGAGAAGAAAACTTTCCAACAAAATCAATAAAGCTACTAGTTTCTTGATTAAAAGAAATATTTTAACTTTGGACATTTAGCTTTCATAAATCTCTTTCTCATGACAACTTTTGGGTTTCTTTATTAATAACTGGTGATTGATTTCCTTATTTAATCACTCTTGTATCATTTTTATAATTATTACATAAGTAATCTCATGTTTATTGTTAAAATAAAAAACTAAAAGAGATAAAGAGGATTACAGGCCATTTAATCATAAAGCAAAATATTTATGTTTATTTGTAAACATTGTAATAACTTGGTAATTAGTTCATGACTTAGAAACTTACTGTAAATAAGCACTAGTTTCTATCAATCCTAGTTTGAAGGAAAAACATTATTTATTCAAGCTTCAATAAATAGAGTCAACATTTAAAGTAACTTCTTATAATTTTTTAACAATTTTTAGTGTTCAGCAACATGTTGGATTATTTCAATTTATAATTGACTTTTATTATTATTCATCACTTAATTACTTTTTTACTTGAAGGAATATATTGATAGTAAATTTTGAACACTACAGTAATGATATGGTTTCTAATTACCATAAATCTGTTTGCTTATTATTTAATTTATGATTGTGATTGTGGTTTTTAAATACAATTTAAGAAAAAAGAGTCTTCATTAATCAAAATTAACAAACATAATTGACATACAGGATGTTATTCATGTATAATGAAAAAACTTATTTATAAAATAATAATCACAACATTCACTTTTTACCAATCGTTATTTTTTATCTTTAAGTCAAATAAGCAAAAAATTTAGTACAACATCTTTTTATACTTTCCTATGAGATGTTTTGAATAATGGCTAGACAATTCACATTAAAGTCAAAGTTATATTTTTTTCAACAAGCTATTTATTACATCATATTTATGCAATTTTCACTTAAATAAAAAAAAGGACTCATCAATCAGCTATAAATTTCAATGTTTTACCTTTACTTCACTACATTTATTTTAAAATCAGATTATATATCATTGTTTATTTCCAATATTTTCAATGGATTTAACTTCAATTGTATGTCAAACAATAAAGTATTGTATATATTAGCACATTTCTCATATTCTCTCAATGCTTCTGTTTGCATAAAATTTATCAATTATTTAAATGGAAAATATTACACAACTAAAGTTCAATTGTAAATATAAAATAAATTGAATCGACATGATATTTACTCTTTACCATTAGATACAGATTTAATAGGTAAAGAAAAAATGAAATAACATTTTTCAAATTTAACACTTCAAACAAAATCGTCTTAAAAGATTTATGTAATGTGGTATAAGAATTCAATATCTCAAAAAATGATTTAGAGTTTTGTCGACTTATCCCTTTTTCCGCTCCAACAAAAATTTTCCGCTGAGAGGACAAGAATTACTTGAGCTGAGAAAATATTGTATCAAAATTGTTCAATAAATCAAATCGTTTGTAAATGTATTTTTCGCGTGATAAATTTTTTTATCTCTATTCACCTTAACTTGGAAAATTGTATTCAACATTAAATGAATCGTCAATGAATTATTTATTTTATTTATATAAAAGACTTTTTGAATGAAATTCCAAACTTGTTAATATTTACTGATTGTTATGTAATAAGCAAGAGAATGATTGTAGAGGATTTTATATTTCATCATTATTGTTGAAAACAAAACATTTACTTTTGAATTATTATTGTGGTAATTCTCTCTTCAATATCAATGTAACAAAATGAGTTATTGAGTTCTGATAACCGTTATTAACAACAAATGTTTCCTTTTGATTAACTTCTTTTTTTTATTACTATCAAATCAATAATAAAAAACTTTATCTTGTACAGTCTATAAATAAACTCTCAGTACATTTTATGATATAATTAGACAATATCATTTTTTAATGTAAATTTAACTAATTGATTATCATTAAATTTTAGAAAATAATTTATTTATATTAATAAACTATCTTGAATAATTAAAATAAAGTTTTTTAATTCACATTATTATAAAGACTCTGACTAGAGTGTGTATCTCGATATTCTCTAGTTGAACTAATCTAAATTACATTTTAAAAATCGTTCATTTGAAAGCTACTTTTCCCTTAGTGAATTCTTTTATCTAAGAATTTTCTTTCAAAAGAAATAATAGTACCCCTGGGATGCATTTAAGAATTCTAAATTATTGTTCAAGAAAATATTCTTAAAAAGATTAAAATGATTTATACATAACATATATTCAAACTTGATAGTTATTTATATCAAAATCAATTGTCCATAGTTGTGCTATTTATCAAGAATATTACTTTTATCTAGGATACTCTATCAATAAGAGAGTTGTTTGAAGTTTGGTATGTATTCGAGTATATAGTAGGTACATTTTACCTCATAACATTGGTACAGAGACCCCCGCAGGGTTGGATTGAAGAGCCATGTCCAGAGCACTTGGGACAATACGTCATTCTGAGTAGTGCCTCATAGCAAGCAGTTTGATGGGGACTGGTTCCAGAAAAAAGTACACTGTCTGTCTGGTCCATGACAGTTTTGCCAAGAGTAAGAGCTTGAACAAGCACACGAGCAGCCTCAAGACTTTTGCTCACCGATTGTGATATTTGCTTAGGTATGTCTCCAAAAGGTTGAATCTCATCCATTGCCTCATACAAACATTTCTTGAATTTTTCAGTGAAGTCTTGTTCATGTGGATTTACTGCGTGATGATAAGCAATAGGAAAAAGCTTTGTGAAAAATTCAATGAAACGTTCTTGAAGCATTTCACGACTCAATAGTTGCTGAAGAGTGTCTGGAGTATTGCTGGGTGACACATAGTCTACCATTGCTTGATACAAAGCATTGATGGACGGTCTGCTTTGCAATGACATTGATCTGTAGACTTGCTCAAACAGGATCAGTGTCTTATTTTCAGACTGACGTGCCAGAGAAGTTACTGCCTCTGCAATGAAAAAAAAAAAAAACAATTTATAAATTATTTATGCTTTGTGACAAGTTGATGTTAATAATGGGAAAAGTTTCAATGTTGTATTTAAATTTTTTTTCTCCATATAATTTGCACTATAAAATATGATTTAAATTAGTTTTATTTTAGGGTCAACCGAGAAGGTTAATAATGAGTGAGAGGTAAAATTTAAATGAGCTAATGTTAGCTGCCAATTTTCATTAATCGCATCAAAAGTTAATAGTTACTTTAATTAATTTTTTTAATGTATTCAAATTGAGCCAATCAATTGTATTAATTTGTTCAATTAATCAACTTTGTTTTTTTTTTTTTATTACAATCATTATTAAAACATATCTGTTTAATTAAAAGTAAACAATGAATTATTTTATCAATAAAAATAAACAAAAAAACAGTTGATAAGTTCTACAAATTTAACGGTTTTAATAAATGTTTTTTTTTCCAATTTTATTTCTAGAAACAATAACACTGAATTGAATTTTCATCATCGTATATTCCAAGTTACTTTTAAATTCCTAAATTTAGCATTTTTTGTGGATTCAAATTTTATTTAAAACTCTGACGGTAAATAGGGTAAAAAATGTCTGCATCAAAGTCAAATATTCTTATGATAATTTTGTAAAATAATGTATGAAGGTAAGCACAAAAAATATCATGATGGGATCGAAATAAAAATGGTGTAATTACGAATCAATTACAATTGTATCGTTCAGGGGTTAAATTTAGTTAAAACAAGGTGGGAAGTTTAAGAATAAAAAAAACTAAATAAAAAAGCACGTGGGAAAGAGCATCAGGAATCTCCTGGGTCTCATGAACTAATTTTCCCCTTCTACTTAGCAACATGGCAACGAACTACACGTCCAGCCGATTATAACTTTCTCAGCCATTACGCGAACAAATAATTACACAAGTTTTAGGCCGATGCCATGAGTTAGGCGTCAATTAAACTCACAATGGTACTTATGCAATAAAACGAGTTGAACATTTAATGGTCATTGCTCTTAATATTTCTATCTCACTTTATCTCCCTCCGTCGATATCGATTACATTCGATTAGCCACAAGTGGTACCACTTGTCCAGAAGTGGTTCGCTTACAACTCTCAGCGATTGAGTGTAAATAAAAAAAAATCCCTGAAACTTAAGATGCAAATGATGGTGGTATTTTTTCATCTCATTTCTCTTATTGGAGTCGATATTCCAAGAATGCCATTATTTCACATTCAAATCGTACCATTTAATTGAAAATTTTAGCTCGAATAAAAATCAGGTGTCATATAATCAAATCAATTAAGATATTTGACTATCAAATGCATATCTTAATTTTATGCAATCTCTCGAAATAAAAATTATTCAACATTTAATGTTTATTTTTATAGATTCCACTCGGATTCTAAGTGGTACATTTCTCGTTCTGTTCAATTAGTATCCAGCAATTATGGTCAGGAATAATATTCTGATTAATCAATGAGATTTGTATTGATTGCATTAATCAATTAATATGGTATCAATTTATATTTCACACAATCTTAGGAAAAATTTTAAATTTTTTCTAATGGATTGTAATTTATGTGGAGATAACTTTTATCATTCAATGCATTATTATCTGTAAAAAAATCTAAACGTATAGATAATAAAAAAATAGCCATAAATTATGCAAAATTTCTAATTTAACAGTCGTGTCATTAAAAAACGATTAAAAATTTTAATTTAATTATTTAAAATGAACTTTAAATTTTTGGAAATTATTGGAAATGTTTTTTTAACATTACTTTTACAACTTTGAAAAAATAAATTAATACAAAAATATTACAATTATTATTATATAAAAAATAACTCCTACGTCTCTTTAAAATAAAGACATTCATAAAGCAAACGCTTGGTAATTTGCATCTTCTGTGCACTTAATTGGAGTGTGAAAACTATGTGAACTCGTGAAGTGTTGAAGAGTATCTTCAGACATCATTATTAAATTAAGAAAATTTTAAGAATAATTTAATAATTGTCATTATTATAATAATAATTATTATTATAAAGTAATAATGATAATAATAATAATAATTTTTATATTTAAACTCTTGTTCATTCAATCGAAAAATTATCAGATTAATATTCTGATTGTAACATATCCGTTCTGAATGATGTAATCAGTAAATTATTTAACAAAGAGTATTTTATATATATTTTCTATTAAAAGATCAATCAAATGTTTCTGCAAAACAATATACACTGAAGAGAACAATGAAGTTATACTCGAGAAGAGTCAACTTGGAGTTTTATATTTTTTCAATTAAATTAAATATAAATTTCTAGTAGCATAGATTTCTCATTCATTTTTTTTTGTTTCAATTTATATAAAAGCCACTCTATCAATCAATTTATCTAAACCCATAAAATATAAAACAAATTGTGCATGTGTATCTTTTGATTGAATATTAATAGAAAATTTCATTACATATATTTTTAAAATAATAGTTATCTTATTGCTATTAAATTTACAACGAAATCGAAATGTGAATTTAAAGCCATTACTTATCGATATCTCTGATCTATGAATATCTATATCACTTTAGGTCGGATAATATTATTGATAATTTATGTTTCTATAATTCTACTTGGTTTAAATAGCCTCCATAAAATACTGAAATAATATACAACTCTCTTGTTTTAATTTCATAAAAATAAACTAATCTCGAGTTATTAATGCATCCAATAGAGTCATTTTACTAAAAAAAACCTCATTTGAATATTTACATATGGGTATAAATATTCATAATGTGATAGGGAAATTATATTTTTGGGATGCTAAAACTGCATTATTTCACTTTTTACTTAACCTTTAGCTGAACTCTTTATCAATTACTAACCAAATAAAATTTTTTTGCAAACCTCTTCCTAACAAACAACATTTAAATGAGTATCTATTTATAAATGGCAATGTCAATATTTTAATTCAATGTTAATATTTATCTGTTAGGATAATTTAATTATAAAAATAAACACATTAAATAAATTAATTGGTATGTGTAAATAATTTGGAAATGTTTTAAGCCACTAAATTTACAGTATATTAATAATTAAATGATTAAACACTTTTGGAGTAGTTAATTATTTATCTCTGAATACTTTAGATGATTGTTGTAAAATAATACTAAAAAATACGACCTTGTAAGGGTGAAATTGAATTTGCAAAAAGTCGATATTAAATAATACACTATCTCTCATAAATATTCATTGATTTTACGATTTACATTTTTGTATACAATTATTTTCTACCAACGATTCGTCTTCCTGAATGTCGGACTGTTATTGGTTAACCCTTATGTTGTTTTATATGAAAATTTTTTTGTTATCGTCTGCAAATTTTATTAAACTTCAGTCTGTGCAGAAACGACATGGATTAAATTTATTTTATTTATTTATATTTGAAGGAAATAATAAACTTTAAGTCTCAATAAGGAGATTTAAAATATTTTTAATTATTAATAATTTTAATATTCGTAAATAACATTAATATAATTCTTATTTGATCATAACATATTTATTTGGAGTAATAGAAAATTGAAAAAAGGAATTTCAGCAGTTAATTTTGAAAATATTGTTACATTTTTGAACTCGAGTGTTTTTATTTGATTTTTACTGTGTAAATAATATACATAGTATGAGTATTGATGGATTTATAAAATTTATATTCACTTTTGAACATTAAAAAACATTTGCCAATAAAATTCCCCAATGCTTTGCTTTATTTACTCTGCGTTTGTATTGATAAAAAAAATTATCAGGATGTTTGAACACGCTAGGAAAGTTTTTCAGATATTAACAAACTAACTTGAATTGTTAGTGAAAACATTGATCTAATAAGAGTATAAAGTTTCATTCAATTAAACAAATGTTATTTTTATTCTTCTATTGATTTAAACTGATTTCTCAACCAATTATCAACCACTAAAATCAAATTACTAAATCGCAGTATAATTAGTTTGCCTACACAAATATTTATCTCGAACAAATGAATAAAATTACAACACCAAGTTCATTTTTCTATACTTCTCATACCATCTTCAATATAATTCCAACGTTAAATACCTTATTCAAATATTCTTTCAAGTAAAATGACGAATAAAATACCAAGAAAGCATTTAACTACACTTTTTCAAATACTTTTGCTAAAATACTTAACGAGTTCAGCAAATGAACGCGTATGTGTACAAAGAAACAAAAAAAAGAAAGGGTCTTTACATAATAAATCAGTGAATTGTAATTTATACCTGAATATGTAAAAAAATTTTGTGAAAACAGAGGAAATAAGGGTCTATGTGTGGGGTTATAAAAATAGAATGATGCGTAAAGTAACGGCTGAAGTACCACAAGAATAAGAGAGAATGGTTGAAAGGGAGAGAAGTCTGCAGGTTGCCGCGGCAACGACACGAGCGAAACTAGACTTTGCTTCACTCTCCCTCTCTCTCTCTCTCTCTCTCTCTCTCTCTCTCTCTCTCTAATAAAGCTAACAAATGTGTAAATACATGAAACAATTCAAATTCCTCCGGTTTGTTTATAACTTCAATCTACACTTTTGCACTATGTTTAACACACTCAGTCGATAATCGAATGATTAATCGGCCATTGATTATTGACTAATTTATTCGCTTGGATATGTCACAAGACAATCGGCGAGTTGTTGATTTTAACTGACATGTTTATTTTAACTACGACCGCTAAAATGTCACGTCATAGTTATGTCTAAGCTTGTATAAACGATAAATTCATGTTCCAATATAGAGATATGAAATTTCTGGTTCGTTGGGTTTATTTTTTTCTTCTTCTTCTCCAACAAGAAAGTGTTGATATTCATTAGTTAGTTGTTTGAATGAAGATGGGCAGAAAATAGATCTTTAACCTCAATCTTTTTTGAGAAAACTTTATTTCTTATTCTTATATATTTTTCTTTTGATGACAAAGGCCTATTGGATCTGGA